TCTCTCTCAAGGGATTTCCAGCATCTTACCAGCGCAGCCTCTTTGAAGTGCTGCAAAGTGGCATTGCTCATCATTTCAGTAATGATAGTAAATAAGCTCCAGTATTTTGTTGATCCTTTTCCTTTTGCTTTACAAACAAAAGGTCAGAGTCATTAGCCCAGTTTGATGAGCGGGGAGAAATGGAGGCTTGCAAGAGGCAGGTCGCTCTGGAACATCGTTGGGAGCACCAGGGAATGAAGAAGACAAGTCACAGGACTTTGGATCAGCCACGCTGGACCACCCAGCCTCCAGATACCCCAGGTACACTCTGCATCATGGCCAGGCATCAGAAGCAGCAAGAAAAGAGCATGGGAACAAGGCCAGCACAGAGCTAGAGCTCTCCCTGCTTTCCCAAGCTGCAGCACCCCACGGCACCTTAAAACCATGGGGAAACAAACACTGTCATTGAGCTGTCCTTCATGGATTTCACTTCCCTAAACTGTCTGATCAGTTCCTTAACTATGTATCCATGAGATCATGGGGCAGCAAATCCCATATTTATTATGTTGGGTGAAAAGACACTTCCTTTATGCCCTTCACTTCACAATTAGGGGATTTCAATCTCAAATCTATGTGTGGCTTTGCTTCACAAAGGAGCTGTTCAAATAAATCCGTCACCATTCACATACAAGCCCCTTCCAAGCAGAGGGTTCACAGGCTGCATCTCCAAGGCCAGGCTGGACAGGCCTTGGATCAGCCTGGCCTGTGGAAGCTGTCCCTGCCCTTGGCACAGGAATGAGATGAGCTTTAAGGTCCCTTCCAACCCAAACTGTTCTGGGCTCTGTGACCAAACACAAGAGAAGTGCTCAGTTCCCAGGGAGCAGTTTCAGTGTGAACCAAAGGAATAACTCATGGTTTGGGTTTGACTTACAGCAGCACTGAGAACAAACCACGTTTAGTGTGGTTCTGTGTCTGAGCCGTTCTGGACTGTGCACTGCTTCCAGCAGCAGTGCAGGAGAACCCAAACCTCGCACACAGCTCACCTGAGCAGCTCACCTGAGCAGTGACAGCAGCAGCCTCCCAGGCAGAGCTTCCAGCCCTCAAGAACCAGTGCCAACTGCTGCTGCCTCCCAGGCATCCCCTGCCTTGCTCTCTGAGCACCACAGCATCCCCTAAAGCACCACTTCTCCCCAAAAAGGGCCTGGGGTACTGCACTGGAAGAGGGGTTACAGAGAAGGCACTGAAGGAACAGAGCTGACCCATCTGTGAGACACCCATCGAGCTTCCTGGTGCTTTGAATTCCTCCATCAAAGCCCCTGGCAGAAGCATACTTGAGATATCTGAGCTCCACCACTTCTCCAGCAGCAACCTAACACCAGAGAGCTTTCCTGCAATTTCAGGAATTAGGGTAGGATCTAGATGAACTATTTCCCAGGCCCATTACGGTGGGGAAAGAGCTGGGATGGGGAATGTGATTAACAGCTCACGCTGCTTGCTCGAGAAAATAATGTGGAAGTTCACATTTAAGTTCTTCTGGGAAGAGACCTCCCCTCCTACTGCCTCCCAGGCAGGGAAAAAATATCCTGCAAACCTTCAGATGGAAAAAGAAATGTCATATAAATGAGAATTAGGCCTCAATCTGATCACCTTCTAGCAAGCACTCCCTCCACAGTGCAGCCTGATCTGCCTCCCATCCTCAAAAAAGAACCAACATGTCTTTTTATTACACAGAGTTGCAAAAATACAAAAGGAAGTAAATGTCACCAGGGTGGTTCTGTTCTGAGCAGTCATTTGCTTATTACCCAGAAGCCATTGCTACATGCCTTTTTTAATCCCGTGTTTATAAATACCTAAAGTATTTAAATAAATGTTAATCTGCGGTAACTAAGGCCCTGATCTCACAAATATTTATCCTTGCACAGTGAGAATAAACACTCAAATACACAAATTTCTTACTACAGATCCCATTTCAGCCAGAGTGTTGTTGAAAACAGTAACACACCAGAAGACAGGCTGGGAAAATAGCTGCATTTTGCCTTCCTGGGTTTTCACAGTGTGTCACTTTTGGGCTGTTTCCTGTGCATTTCTTGTAGAAACTGTACAAAGAGCAAGGGCAGAGCTGAGCCACCGGACAGGGCCGGTTGTGGCTCTTGGAACCTCAGAAGGAGCTTTTGGCAGTGTTTTTTCCTGGTGTCCCATTCTGCACGAGGACAGCAGGAACTCTATCCACAGCACATGCAAACACAATCGCTATTCAATCCCTTTCCTGCTTTGTCACTGACTCATGAGCAACGTATTTTGCTCAGCTGAATGACCAAGGGCTCAGTATTATCATCAAACCAAACAGAGGCAAACCCAAAACCTTGCATCTAAAATTATTAAACGTTTTGAGTCCAGAAAACCCACTGAGAGAAAATATCTACAAGGCTTAAAGCCAAGTCTTAACACTTGCTGAAATCTCCTTTATTACAATCTGTCAAAGAAAACTTGAATTTCTGAAAAACATTAATCCTACCAACCTTTGTTCTTCTATCACCACAAAAATACAAAAAAATAAACCCAGGAAAGGGCTTTGTTGCTGTAACTTTATGCACATGAGGCAATCACTGAAGTTTTAACCCCTCCACCCACACACCGTGATTATCTAACATTGGTGAATGAAATCAGCTTTTCCTAGACCAGCCCTGAAGAATGAGATATATTCAAGGCACGCTGAGAAACTGGGTGGGGACTGATCAGAAGGGTTGTATTCCTTGTCATGAATCACTGTCTGCAAATACCTTCTGAGTTGTAACTCACAAAAATATACCATTTCTGTGTGGTGTGTCACATTAGTCACAGGGAAACCAATTTTATACTGGCATGAGCCATCTGAAAGGTTTTATTTCTTTAAATTAATGGAATTTGGGACATTTACTTTTTGATCTCATTACTGGACAAAAATAAAAAAAAATCACAGTTCTTTTTAAAACTGGTGAAAAGATATGGTCTAGGGAAAAGTTTGCACTGAGTTCACCCCTAGAAGTTTATCCTCTTTAAACCCACACTCAGGAGGCATAGCAAGGCTTCACCTCATGTCAGGTGGGCTACAAGGGAGCAGCTGTACCACTCCTCCAGGCTTTAAAAAGGCACAAATGAAGGCTTTGGAAGGTAAACCCCAGAAAGTCTGGTGCCACCATCAGCAGCACAGCCAGGGATAACAGTGACAACTGCAGCTTGAGCCAAGATCAGTGTCAGGCAGCTCCTGCAAGCTCAGGTCACGCTCTGTCACTCAAACTTCACGTTTTGAAGCACGTTCCTTAGAAAGAAATAAAGCCCCAAAGTGCCCAGGACTTTGTGTGAGGTGAGCTCTGCCCCAGTGCTTGGCTCTGGACACCAGGGGGATTCCAAGCCTCTCTTGGACACGCTGGCTGTGCTCTCCTGGGGAGATGGTGGCTCTGGTTTGCTTTTAGCTCAGTTTGGGATTCAACCACGAGTTGGTTTCTATGGCAAAACCCACTCAAGGTCAGGAAGGGACAAATCAGAACGAAAAGTGTCGCAACACAGCTCTGAATTCCTGCAGCACAAATTCCTGCTCAGCAGCAACTGCTTGTGCAGACGCAGAAAACGGGTGGAAAGCACAACTGCTGCCCTTCCTCATGTGACTGAGAGCACAAGACTCAGTACTTCCCATAGAGCGGGACTTCCCAGGCCTCTGGAAGGCGTCCCTGCCCGTGGCAGGGGTGGAATCGGAGTCTTTAAGGTCCCCTCCAACCCAAACCCTTCCATGATTCCATAAAAGCAACACTGCTGCATCAGTTTTGTCTCAGGGAAGCACACCCGTACCCCTCAGTTGGCTCCCAGCATTTTTAATTTCGACTTCTCCCTCTCACGAGTCTTCAGGAAGGACACTCAAGTGTGAGGGTTACAGAGGGCTCCATCAATTATGGCTCTGCCTGCAGCTGATGTATTTAACAGAGGTTTTTTTAATCATTATTAATAGAATTTCATGTCCACCAACATCTGCAGTGCTGAAAGATTTAAGACTTTCCGTGCTTCCTAGTGCTGAACTCCCAGCATCAGCACATCCCTCAGCCCCACCAGTGCTCTGACCTATGGAGAGGTGCCCAATTCTCTTGTTGCTTCTAAAGAAAGCAAAACAGCAAGGCCAAATGTGAAATTCTGACAGGGAAATAAAAAATCCTACCACAGGAAGGTCCTTGAAGTCAAGTGACAGCTAACAGGGAGAAGCTGCAACCCTCACCTTTCCCCAGACTACCTGTATCCCAAAGTAACCCCAACACAACCACAAGGACATTCCCTAGGAACTTATTTCTTCTCTAGAAGAAATACGATCTGAGGCCACCAGGAGGTGAGTGCACCAACCCGAACTATCCAACCATGCCCCAAGCTTTTTTACAGTGAAAAAAACCCCAACCCATTTCCCCGAGCCCGATACAGCACTGCCGGGGGGTCACACCAGGCAGTTCCAGATTTCGTGTGCTGTGCATGGTGACAGACAAGGGGTGACACACGTACCTAGAAGTGTTCCCAGACAGACCGAGGGTGCACCCAGAGTGGGGCAGGGACAGAGAGGGCTCCCTCTTTGGGGGCACCTCTGGAATGAGGACAGTTCTGCACAAGCCCAGTGTCACACTCAGCCAGAAATGTCTGGAAAGGGAGGGACCCCTCTGCTCCCCCAGAGGCACCCTGCAGCACCCCTTGTTTCCTGAATCCCCCCGCGTTCTCCGCCGCGCCAGAGCTCCGGGACAGCCCCGGGACAGCGGGCACCGGGCAGAGCCCCGCGGGCGACGCTTCCCTCAGCGGGGATGGAGCCCCGGGCCGGGTCGGAGCCCCGGGACCCCCGCCCGGGCCCGCGGCAGCGCGGCTCACTATGTGGCAGGAAACACCGCCCGCTGCACCCCAGCGCTCACTATTTGGCAAGGGCCTTGCGGCCCACTCCAGCGCCTCTGCCTCTCTCTCTCCCGCGAAGAGCCGGCCCGGCGGGGCTGGGGAGGCTCGCTCGCCGCTCTCGCACTCACCCTGTCCGCGGCTGTCCCCTCCGCGCCCCCGGTCTCACTACCACCAGGGCGGGCCGGCCCGCCCGTCCGCCATTCCACGGCTCCCCCTCCCTGCCCCGCCGGGCCCTCGCCCCGCCTCCCCCGGCCGCCGCGCCGCCGCGCCATTGGCTGCCCGCAGGAAGATGCTGCCGCACCATTGGCTGCGACTCCCTGTCCATCAAAGCCGTCCTACGCTACTTTCTTACGGAGCTAGCGCAGCGGAAGAGCCGCACCCAAGCCGGCCGCGCAAAGAGAGTAAATAAGGAGGAGTGTACTATAAGGGGAGACAGACGGGGGGAACCCTGGGGGTCTGGGGACAGATTACAGGAACAGAGGGGAGAACCGCGCCACAAATCACAATTACGACATCTTAAATTACTTTTTGTTGGTTATGAAAGCCAGAACTTGATATTCTTTCCAAGTGGCATTGGAGGAAAGTGCTCTCTGTCACTTCCGCACCCGCCCCGGAGAGCTCCGCTTTGGTGCTGCCGTTCGCCTCTATGGTCTCCCGCCCTGCGAGCGAAGTTCCACCTGGGGGAGCGGGGGTGTCACACCAGGGCGGGGCCGTGGCAGCGGGGTGGGGGCCTGTCCCCTGGGGCCTGTCCCCTGGGAGCTTGGGAGCTGGGGTTTAAGATCTGAGGTTTAGGATTTGGGGTCTGGGGTCGCGGTGGGAGTTGTGGGATGAGGCATGCGGGGTTAGGGGACAGGCCCCTAAGGAGAGGGGGGTGGCAGGGGGTGCAGGTGACAGGGACAGCGTTGGGCTGGCACCAGAGCCTGCAGCTGCCAGTCCTGCCAGGACCCCCAGGACCCCCAGCCCTGCCGAGGAGGGCGTCCCCAGCCCCCAAAGCAGGTTCCCGTCACGGGGGTCCCGAGCTGGGCCGTGGGCACAGCCGCTGCCCTCCTGGCTGGCCGCGCAGGGCGCTGGCTGCTGGGCCCCGCGGGGTTTCTCCTCCTGGATTTCCCCCCGTGACCCGGCTGGGAAGGAGGCAGGGATTAATTACAGGAGCTGGGAGCAGCAGGCAGCGCTGCTGGGGACACGGGGACAGGCCCTGCTGGGGCAGCACAGGGCATCACAGCCCCGTCCCTGCCCCGTGCCCAGCAGAGTCCTGGCATGGCCTGGGGTGAAGGGTCCCAAACCTCACGGGCCGGGACAGCTCTGAGTGGAGCCGGCTGCTGTGAGCGCTGTGCAGGGTGGCACTGGGCACCTCCAGGGACGGGGCCAGCCTCCTGCTCCTCAGCAGGGCCGGGGTGGTGCCGGTGCCCTCCAGAAACGGGTGAGACCTTCCCCCCGTGGTGTTGCGTGTTCCTGCTGGTGCGGCTGGGTGTTCAGTCCTGCCTGGTCCAAGCAAGCCCCTGGGCTGGGTGGGGGAGAGGCAGCGGCATGAAGGGCGCTGGCACGGACATCCTTCTCTTCCCTGCTTGGTGCTCCTGCTCTAAACCCAACCGCAGGGACTAAATCAGCCGCCAGGCAGCAAACAACAAACCCCGGGCGGAGCCGGGAGCAGGGCCAGCCCCGGGTCACCCGGTGCCTGTCCCTGTGTCCGTGCCTGTCCCTCTGTCCGTGCCTCCTCCGCCCTGTGGCACAGCCTGGGCCTGCCCCGTTCCTTCTGCATCCTGCTGCCACAGATGGACACACAGACACACAGACACACATTTCTCGCCTGCTTTTGGCATCGCTGTCCTCCTGAGTCCCACCTCAGCGCCTCCCGGTGCTCCCTGCTGCCCCAGGGCAAACTGGCAGGGTGGAATGGGTGGACAGGGTGCCCAGGGGTTGGGATGAACGGGCACATGGGGCACCTGGGATCCACAGGGCACCTGAGGCACCTGGGATGCACAGGGTGCACGTGGTACCTGGAGTACCTGGGATGCACAGGACACATGGAATGCACAGGACACATGGAATGCACAGGACACTTGGGGTACCTGGGGTGTACAGGACACATGGAATGCACAGGACACGTGTGGTACCTGGGATGCACAGGACACATGGAATGCACAGGGCATCTGGGATCCACAGGGCACCTGAAGCACCTGGGATGCACAGGACACATGGAATGCACAGGACACGTGTGGTACCTGGGGTGCACAGGACACGTGTGGTACCTGGGACGCACAGGACACATGGAATGCACAGGACACCTGGGATGCACAGGGCACCTGGGGTGCCTGGGATGCACAGGACACACGGCATGTCCAGGGTGCCCGGGCTGCAGTGGGGCACAAAGGACGCGTGGGGTGCACAGGGTACAGCCCCAGTACCCCACCCTGCCCCCAGTCCTGCCCTGTGGGTGTGGGCCAGGGGCTGGGGTGCTGCTGAGGCCGCTCAGCTCCATGTTTTCCAGGCTGGATGCACAGGGCACATGGAATGCACAGGACACATGGAATGCACAGGGCACCTGGCGTACCTGGGATGCACAGGACACATGGAATGCACAGGACATGTGTGGCACCTGGGATGCACAGGGCACCTGGGGTGCCTGGGATGCACAGGACACACGGCATGTCCAGGGTGCCCGGGCTGCAGTGGGGCACAAAGGACGCACGGGGTACATAGGGTACAGCCCCAGTACCCCACCCTGCCCCCAGTCCTGCCCTGTGGGTGTGGGCCAGGGGCTGGGGTGCTGCTGAGGCCGCTCAGCTCCATGTTTTCCAGGCTGCCAGCGAGCCGTTCCCTTGAAGATCTGCCTCTATCTCAAGGTGTCACAGCCTCAAGGGACCTGCCTAATCTGTATCTGCTCTGCAACCTTTATCTCTCCTGCTCTGTTTATAGCTGCTGAATAAAACCTGCTAAACTGCAGGATCCAGCCCACCCCCCTGCCGTGCCCCCCGACACTTTTTCCCCTGGTGCTCCTGCCTGCCAGGTGCTTTCCTGTGTTCTGCTGGAGGTAAATGATGCTCCAGGGCATGGGGAAGGGCAGCCAGGCTGCTCCTGCCTCCCAGCTCCCTCCCAGGTGGGCTCCAGCCGTGTCCAAGCCCTTGACAACCCCAGGCAGAGCCTGGCACAAAGCAGAGCCTCATGCCAGCCCTGATTCCCTCAGCGTGGGCTTGGATTCTGCTGAAAACCAGGTGGGATCCAGGAGGTCCAGCCTCATCCTTTCTCTGCGTGCTTCAGGGCTGGGAAAGGGGGCATTCTCCGCGGGAGGGAGGAGATGGCAGCTTGTTGAAGCCTTGGATGTCTCTTCCCTGGCCAACTGCCCCATCCCAGCAGGCACAGCTGCATCCCTGCTCCCTGTGGGAAAGGAGCCAGGGCTGTGAGCACCAGAGCTGCGAGATGCTTTGGACACATGCTCCCAAGGCTTCTCCTGCATCCCTGATCCCCACAGACCGTGATGCACGAGGACACGGGGTGGAATGGGGCTCACGGGATGGACAGGGTGCCTGGGATGCAGGGAACAACCAGGATGAAATGATGCACAGGGGCTGGAGGGGCTGCCCGGGATGCACACACGGAGTGCCTGTGGTGCACAGCACACCTGGGCTGCACGGGATGGAAGGGGTGCCTGGGATAGCCGGGGTACAAGGGACAGACGAGATGTGTGGGACACTGGTGTCACCCTGGACTGGGTGTCCAGGACACAGAGGAGCTGCCCGGGGTGTCTGGCTTGTCTGGGACTCTCAGGAGGTGTCCAGGATGCTCAGGACACACAGGAGGTGCCCGAGACTCTCAGGAGGTGCCCAGGACATCTGGGACACTCAGGAGGTGCCTGGTGTGGCCGGGATGCTCAGGAGGTGCCTGGGACCCCCAGCAGGTGTCAGGGACACTCAGAAGGTGCCCAGGACCCCCAGCAGGTGCCCGGGATGCTCAGGAGGTCCTTGGGACCCCCAGCAGGTGCCCGGGATGCTCAGGAGGTGCCCAGGACCCCCAGCAGGTGCCCGGGCCCCCAGCAGTGCCCGGCGCGGGGTGCCCGGCGCGTCCCCGCCAGCGTGGCGCGGGCAGTGGCTGTGCCGCTGACATTTACTAATCAGCTCTCACCCAGCGCACACCCGCTCCCTTCTCTTGCTGTCTTGTCTCCATGGAGACTCCGCAACCTTTGCTCACTCGTTAATGGTATCTCAGCAAAAGAAACTCCAACGCCACCCAGCCTTCCCCTCCCGGCCCCGGGAGAAATCCTCGCCTCTCACCTCCATCCCCATCCCCTCCTGCCGCTGGGGATGAAAGGGACGAGTCCTTGTTAGCGAGGGACCCAGCCACGGGGGCAAGTTCTGACGGTGGTGCGGGGAGGAGGGAGAGCCACCATCATCCTCCTCGCCGCCAAAAAAACAAGGCTGGGGGATTTTATTGCCGTGGCAGCAAGGACAGGCTCCATTCATGCGGGATTCCAGCCAGCAGCCCCTTTCCTGCCTGATTTATTGAGCCACAAGGCTTGGCGTGGGCTTCTGCCTGGGTTTCTGCGTCCCCCCCGTCCCAAACCCACAGCCCAACGTCCACGAAGCCACCCAAAAACCATCCAAAGGGAGTGGCTGGTGCTGGGAACATGCTCCGTCCCCGGTGTCCTGCTCTCGCTGATTCTGTTTTCAAATTAACATGGGAAAGATGCCCATTACCTGCTTCCAGATAATGACTATGATTAGGCAGAGCTCTGCTGCCAGCCGAGATCTGAAGGATTTCTGTGCTCTCCAGCAGCGCTTTGCCAGTGCAAAAACAAGAGCAATAAAGTGTAAATAAAAGACTAAAGGAAATCGTGGGTCCATCAGCGGATGGGCTGTGTGGAAGGGGCTCTAATGATGGGCTCTCTGCAGTCGGGTGGTGGCTGCAGGCTCCAGGCAAGGGAAAACTGGAGAGGGGCTGTCCCTGTGCCTGCACCAAATGTGTGAGCCTGGCTCGGCCCCTGCTTGCTGGGAACTGGGGGTTTGGGGAAAGAAAATTCGAGATGTGGGTGTGTGAGGCTGCTCTGGGGACACTCCTGGCCCTGCACATCGAGATGGGGGATGAGGAGGGGGGAAGAAATGGCTGGATCTCCCGAGGTGACTGCAGCAGCTCCCAGAGCATCCAGGGCGGTCCCAGCCCTCCCCTGCATTGTGCTGTGACACTCTGCAGGCAGGGAGCAGGACAAGGGACCCCCTGTGCCAGGGGCACCTCCATCCCCAGGCATGCT